CTTACTAACCAAGGAGGGTTTATATTGCTCTTTACTCCTGTTAGTGTTAATCCATGCTAGCATTTGACAGCTCTTTGCTGAGAGAGACAAGGTAGATGAGCCAATACCTTTTATTTGACTAACTTCTGTCTGAGAGAGCATAGAAAGATGCGGAGCTAAACAAACTAATAGAGAACGAATCTATTGTACTACTTAGGGCTGGTCTACACTACCGCTTAAGTCAATGTAACTTATATCGCTCAGGGTTATGAAAACGACACCCTCTTGAGCAACGCAAGTTACATCGACTTAAAGTGCTGTCGACACCACGCTATGTCAGTGGGAGATGCTCTCCCGCCAACATAACTTCCAGCTCACACGGAGGTAGAGTAATTATGCCGACAGGGGAGCACTCTCCCATTGCCATAGCACATCTTCACCAGACACGATGCAGCTGCGCCAACATAGCGCAGTAGTGTAGACTTGCCCTTAGATACTTATGTGGTCTAAAGAAAAGGAAAAAGAAACAGAAACAGTGTCCAATCATAAATTCCAGTATAAAGTGAGAGCAACCCCTCTGGCAACAAAAACAGCCCCACGTATAAAACAAAACTCCATCTCAAAGAGATACAGCCACTGTATTAAATATAACTAGAAGGTATGAATATACTAAATGACTACATGTAGTGCAAGTGACAGCAGAGGGCTGGTGTAACATCTATGTGTCATTGAACATCGGAGTAAATAGTCTTTCTGTTGCAGATGTAACCAGTTAGTTGTTCTAACAAGCATTTTTGCATCTCAAGACAAAATTGCATATTGCTAGTTAACAATCTTAAAGGAAGATGAGCAGTTACTCCTTACTTTGGAAAATGGGTGAGGATTAGTGTTCGTTTCTCTTGAGGAAGCTTGTCTTTTTCCTGTCTAGCCTGCTCCAGGAGTTGCCGTCTCATAACAGTAAAGACAGAGCGTAGCAGAGTTCTCCCAAAGACCTGTGTGGTTTCGTATCGAGGTAGACTGTCACAGAACTGGGGAACATTGCAGTAACACAGCCACCTGCAGCAAAAAAGCCAGATAATTACCTCTACCTGGGAATAACCTGATGTGTCAAAACCACTAGCAACAAAAGAAGATTAAATGACTATACAAATCCAGATTAGGTCCCCTGCACATATAGCAAAGTAGCACTTGCATGGTCTGCCATTTCTTTGAAAAATGGGTAACTCCTTTCATGATCTTCCCAAACTCTCTCTAACCTTCAGACCCTGTAAAACACTCTTGCTGCTGAATGAGCGAGCATATCAGACATACCCTATCATAGCATATGTGCAGGAGGAATGTCACTTTTGTATTAGGACTGACCAAAACTATCTAAACTTTCCATCCCTCCCTTTCTCCAAGTCACTTTCTCTCACTAAATCTCATCCTAATATTCTCCTTTTTTCCATTAACTTACAAGTGACTCATTCCATAAAGGATTTTGTTATACTCTATTAGCAGACCAATATAAAAATACAGCATTTTGTGTTACATCTCTCCACGGGATGGATTGTGGCACTGAAGGGGTTAAGCAGCAGTAAACTTGACTATGTAGAGCAGCATAACAGTTAATTTTATAATCAAGATTTAAGTTTGATGTGGTATCATACTCCCTCATTTATACACGCTAATATGTATCATCACAGATGGGGGAATAAGGACTACCAATACGGTAGTCTATTATGATACCAATGATTCTTATTTACTTAGGAGCATTCATTTTTTATCTGAACACTTTTTGCCTTTCCTCTTTAATACAGCTGATGGAATTGAAGTTTTGTAAAAGTGATAAAATTAAGATTATCAGTGTAAGGATGGAGAGCTCGGTTGATCTTGAACTGCAGTCCTTTCTAACCCCCTCCTTAGAGCATTTGTTATTATATAAGACTAAGTAGCACCTCTGCTGTTAATCCAAAAAGCAACTATACTACTTTTTAAGAAATATAAGTTTACAGAAATTAAAATATATTAGTTTTTTCCAATAAGTCATTCCTTAGAATTCTGATGGAAGTAGTGAAAATATACATATGAATTTTCATTTTAAGGACTCTAATAATGCCAGGTAACCAGTTGGCTCTCAAATCTTTAAAGATGGTATTAATTTGCACATTTCTCATACTTTAGTTTGAAACAGAGGCTTTGAGATTTCTAAATTTTTTAAAAAGGTTTTTAAACAACAAGCTTCATGAACTTAAAGTGCATGAAATGAAGCCTGACATTCCACTAAGCATCCAATCAGATTAAGAGTAATTATTAAATACAGCCCCAATTCTGTAAATAGAAGTGACAGCATGGGCCTCTTATGACAGCATGGAACTTCATTGAAGCCAGTAGGTCTACAGGTAAAGACAATGGTTGTAAGAAATCTCTGTTGGTGCATCTAGCTACAGAATCAGGGCCTATATTCTGAAAGGGAAAACTGAAGCGAAACATAGTTACCTTGTATAGTTCACTTTATAGCCAGCAATGTCATCATTAGGAGATCTCAATCTTCGCTGCAAAGGTGTCTCCAGATGCCAGTAATTGATGCGGTTTAGAAACATTTTAGCCAGTTCAACTATCGTTTGCCTCTCCTTTGATGGTAGGTGGCTAAATTTGTACTGTACAAAATTATTCACTCCCTTAAAACAGAGGGTGAAAGTGATGATTATTTAACAATTTAGGCATAACCTTCTTTCCTGTGAGCACTACTAACTTTTTTTTATATATAACAGAACTTGTATTACAACACAGAGAAAATACACATTGGGTCGTTTGAAATATTTGCTCCTGCCAGAGGTATAACTAAAGTATTGGTTCTGCTAAATAGAAAGTCATGCCTGCTCAAGTGTGTTTGATTCTATTTCCCTCTAGCGACTGGCCTATAATAAGGGGTATAAACCGCTACATAAATCTCTTACTTCACATGATATAGAACTTTTACTGGGGAAAGGTCATGCGCTTTTTCTTGGATGCCCCACATGTGCAGTTTTGTTGATGACCATGCTGTACTCTTTGTAAACTGACATTCACTTGTTAGAAATTAACTGCTCTGAGATTTAGGCATGGGACTGAGAAAAGCATGTAACATACTAGCTAGGGTTAGGGTGACCAGATGTCCCGATTTTATAGGGACAGTCCTGATTTTTGGGTCTTGATCTTATATAGACTCCTATTACACCCTACCCCCTGTCCTGATTTTTCACACTTGCTGTCTGGTCACCCTAGCTAGGGTATTGCCATCTGAGAAGGACTAGCCAGCTGACCAATTGTGATTACTGTTACTGACTGGCCAGAACTGCATGCAAACTTAGCAGAATGTTTTGGCACAATCCGTCTGCTACTGAGTTGTCCACTCTCAGCCCACTTACTGTTTGCTTCACCGACCTAGAGATACAGATTGTAAATTCTTTGAGGCAAGGGCTGTCATTATATGTTTGTACTGCACCTAGCACAATGGAGCCTTGCCCTGGCTCAGGCCTCTAGGTGTTATCACAATATAAATGTCAGATAGTAGTATGTATGTGTAACACTGTTTTCTGCTGGAAGGAATTCAGATCTGATTAAATATTTGTGGTTGTGTCACTATCTTCTGGCATTAGCCGGAAAAGAGTATATACATCAACGTGTTAGCTGATGTGGTGGCAGTCTGCATTTCAGAAACAAAGTCTCTGGATTGTATCCCCCAATACTGTATGTGTGCCATGTAGTCGTGGATTCATTAAACTCACAGGGTCAGACCAACCCAATCATTGGTGAGTCATACCAACACTTTCCTGTTTCTGCAAAATATAAGTTTTCACTTAAGAAAAAAAGTTTCTATTCCTTATGATTGAAAAGACATCCTTTTACGGCAATCCATTTCAGTTCTGCATTCTGGTGTCAGCAGACAGACTAAAGCAATAGCTCTAGGAGAGATGTAAGCTTCCTGCAATCATCCCCATGACAGAACAATGCCAAAATGGTTTCAGGGGATCAGCAGAGGGCAGAAACAACCCTTCCTTCCTTCTCCCCATCTCTGCAGGAGAGAGCCAAACAAGGGGTCTGTCCTCATCCCAATCATCCAATGGCAGCAGGGGAGGGTGGGACAGGCTCAGAATTCACACACTGTTTGAGCCAAGCCACTCCCCTTGCCCCCAAGAGGGAAGAGAGGCACCAGTGGGAGCCTAAGATCCCCCGTTCCCCTCCTCCTCACCCACACGGAGGGGAAAAGGGTGGCATGCATGTCCCCATCACTCCCAGACCCACCAATGACACACCTCACTAGCAGTGCCGATGGGCATTAGTGCTGAAGACTACAGATGAAGATTTAAGGAGAGAGATCATTAATAATATTTAATTCCTGATCATGTAAGCAAAAACTTCCAGCTACTTTTGAATTGTGGGTGGAGCTTGGAGTACTTCCATCTTACTCCTGTTTATACAGTGTGTTATTTCTTCATGAATTGCCCGTACTGCGTATGCACATCACTTCACTGCACTCTTTATATTACCCCTTTAATAAACACTCAGTTAAAGATAATTAAAATGTGTCATTAAAATAAACTGCCACAATTCATACTCTTACAAACAAAAAATAGCACTGCGGCCTTAGCAAATTTAATGTGTGACTTAGATTCTTTTATTTTATAGCAATCCAGAATTTACCAGAAAATATTGTTCATTTGACATGAAATCGTTTCCGAATAAACTGTAAAGAGAATTACCCCCTCATATCAACCTGTAGAGATTTCTTAACCCAATTAACCAAAAGGAAAACTTAAAATGCTTTACTACTAAAAAAAGAAGTTCTGTACAAAATGTATATTTTAGGGATTAGGAGTATATAACATTACGTACACTAATTATTTTTTGAAATAAGAAATTTAGTACATAACATTACGTATACTCTAATTATTCCTAAAAAAACAAGGAATGCCACTGTGAAGAGTGTTATTTTACTGAGTTATGATAAGCTAAACTCAAAAACATTTACACAGTGTGCCAGTTTAAAATAGGCTATTTAATAAAAGAGTATACTTCCCATTAAGCCACAGACTGCTTGAAAGATATTCAGGCCCTGATTCAGTACAGTATTCAAGCACGTGAGCAGTCTCATTGAAGTTAACAGAACTGCTCCTGTGTTTGAGGATAAGCACATGCTTATGTATCTTGCTGAATCAAAATCGCAGTTTCTGTGTATCTTCTCTATCCACCTATGTATTCATAAAGGCACCAACTACTGTTGGTTTTCTTTCAGTTGCTTCTGCTTTGTAACGCTGGGGTGAAATCCTGGCCCCACTGAAGTCGATGGCAAAACTCGCACTGATCTCAATAGCACCAGGATTTCACCCCGGTGCTATATTCCTCAACTTCAAATGCCAAGTATACCAAAATAAACAAAGATTAGACCTGACATACATGAAAAAGGTACTTTAAGAGAGTCTACTATTTAAACCACAGCTGCTGACTTTAATTTTTCTCAGTGGGTGCTCCACCACTGCTTCACCCTGAAGCCCTGCCACTACTCTGCCCGTTCCCCCAAGGCCTCAACCTCACTCCACCTCTTGCCACCCCTGCTCCACCCCTTCCCCGAGGCCATGCCCTCACTCCACCTCACCCGACCCATCCACTCCCAGTCTTTATTCAGGCCTAATGTTATGGTGTCTAGTTTGCAAATTCATAAAGACTGGGAGTGGATGGGTCACTACAAAAAGTAATTTTCCCTCTGCTGATACTCACACCTTCTTGTCAACTGTTGGAAATGGCCGACATCCACCTTGATTGCATCGGCCTCCTTAGCACCACAAAACTAATTTTCCCTCTTTTGATATTCATCCCTTCTTGTCAACTGTTGAGAATAGGCCACTTCCACCTTAATTGAACTGGCCTCATTAGCAATGACCCCCCACTTGGTAAGGCAACTCCCATCTTTTCATGTGCTGTATATATATATATATACACTGCTTATTGTATTTTTCACTCCATGCATCTGATGAAGTGGGTTTTAGCCCACGAAAGCTTATACCCAAATACATTTGTTAGTCTTTAAGGTGCCACAAGAACTCCTCGCTGTTTTCGCGGATACAGACTAACACGGCTACCACTATGGAAAATAATTCAATAACTGAACACAGTGCCCTTCCCAACGGCTGGAGAGGAAATCATCTTCATGCAAACCTCAGATTCACCTTTGTTCAAAATGATACAGGGAACTAATATTCACACATTGCCCAAATCCACTCATGTGGACTGCAGCAGGGTCATTGTTCACAGAAATTATCATGTTCTGTTTTACCTGTTCAATACTGGGCTTCTCAAAGGGGGGGCTTTCCAAAGACCCTTCTACCACAGGCTTTCCCATCTGCAAGATGCATTTCCTCAAAAGCTATCAAAAAACAATTTTATTTTTAAATGGTTAACATCTTTATATAAACACTTGACAGTCAGTGAAATGTGTACTGGTACAACATATTAATTATTATTATTATTATTATTAAAATATTTGCTAGTATATGTAATAAATTAAGTTTGCAGCTAAATTAACTTCAGAGTTAATTGCTTTGCCCTCTGAAATGCACCAAGAAAGGCTGTTCTGACCATGAGTATACAGCTAAAGTAGCTTCATTGTCAACTGGCTCTTCTTCTGACTTGTAATTAAGGAAGATGCTGCTGATGGCTGGAAAGAAAATACATACCAAATGGGTGCTGACTTGGGACCAGACTCTGAAATCACTGGGAAGACTTCAGAAGTTAGGTACTGTGCAACATAAGGGTAGCAGAATCTAGTCCAAAATTAAAAACCTTATTACTATCCTGGAAAAAGGAGAGCTTATCCTACAAATTGTCTAAGTCAATACAAACATAATGGTCCATTAGGACAATAAAATTAATGTAAGTACAAAAGAATGAAAGATATGACAAGATGCTACATGTGTATCTAAAGTTGCAGAAATACAATTGTATGATGTTACATTTTGAGAAACATCTTCATCTTACCTTGAACAGGTAGAAGTAAACTTGTTTTGTATCTGCATCTTCTTCTTTGTGGACACAGGTGAAGAGATATTCCACATCCAACACTATCCCCAACAGCCTATTCATTTCTTCTTCAGACACATTCTCCAGGTGAGAAACATGAGCAGCTAAACAAAATAAAAATCCAAAAATTGTGAAAAAAAACTAGCTGGTAGGATGGCATTCTATGGCCAATAAGACATAATTTCAAAGACAACACAAAGGACGAACCTTGCAACCACGACCACCATGACGACTTAAACAGCACCTTTCATCAGAAGTACCTCAAGGCACAGGCTCCATATGGACAATTTTTATAACAGTTTACAGATGATACACTACGGCACAGAGATAAGTGACTTGTACAAATTCACACAAGTCTGTGGCCATGCTGAGAACAGAACCCACAAATCCTGTCTGCTACTGCCTTACTCTACCAGCAGATTGTGCTTCCACTATTTATGTCACCCACACTAACACAGCTTAGTGCTCTTACTCTCTTTAGTGTCTAGGTTATGTAAAGAGATTATGAGTATACTACTGCCTCCAACCTAATGGATCTGGTCCTAGAGCCAAGTAGTAGTGGCTCATGATTTTTAACCCAGAGATCCCAGGTTCGATCCCCACAGTGGCAATTTACAAGTAGCAATTTAACCAGCAATGAGAGAAAAATTCCTGCTCACAAATGAAAATCTCTTGCTTTAAACTAGGCACTGGTAAGTATGTTTCATGACTACTTATATAGTATCAAGTTCCAAGGATTCACAGTGTGGGTCACATTTGCAGTGCTCCTCCTGCTGCATGTTCTACATGCCCTTCCAAGCAGAAGCTTTAGGGAAGTGTTTTTCAAATACAGGGCCAGATTTACAAAAGCCAGCCTTTCCTTTTAGCACCTGCAAAATGCAAGCTTAATTTTGCACTTGCGATTTTTTTGAGGCTGCAGTTTTGTAGGTGCAAAGAGGGAAATCCACTGAAAGGTGGTCTCAAAACTTGGCCTCAAAAGTACCTCCAGGAAGACAGAAAAGTTAAACCTGAAGAAAAAACATTTTTGGTTCACAAAAAATGGTAAGTGGTCTTAACTGGCTCTAAGCCAAGAGTCCCTCCTCATCCCTCCCTACAGCTAGCACAATGTCTTCTACAGGTCTCTCCTAGTCCCTAGAAACTGGCTAGGGTCTTCAAGGTTATATCCATGATAAGGATTTGAAAGATGCATTTTCAATGAACAAAGACAAAACAATGATGAGCATGATAAAAGCCAGTAGCTTCCATTCCATTAAATTAGTAAAATTAATCCAGAAAGACTGAAGAGATTTAAATGACTAAAGTTTCAAGTGGCCTATCCCTCAAATCTTCTCACCTATTTCTAGACACATGATGAATGAAAGCTCAAAAACAGCCCAGTGACTTCTGGACTGGACTGGTTCCCCAGTATTTAATGATTTCCCTTCCCCTTTTATCAAGAATGATGTCTTTTGACAAAACATGAAGTGAACAGACTCCTGAAACATGCCAAACTGTCTGCATAACTACTACTGCCTTTGTAGTCATCTCCTCAAAGGAGACTGTTCACGTATTATATAATTCTAAATATTCAGTTTGCCCTTCACCTGTAATGTTAATTCTGGACTTTTATTTTTGTGAAAAAAGGAAATGTACTATTTGTTAAGGCATGACAATGTGACTGGCATTGTACTAGTCAAAGGAAATTGCAGTCCCTGCCCTGAGGAGCTTACAACTTAAGAGCCCAATACTGCAAAAACTTAAGCACCTCAGTAATTCTACTCACTGAAGTAGTCCCACTGAACTCCATGGCATAACCCACATGCATAAGCATTTGCAGGATCAGGACCATTTGCACCTCTTCCTATGCAATGCTTTACCATAGTATTCTTTAGAAGTGGAAAAAAACAGCTTTAAAAGTTTTAACAAAATAAATGTTAAACCTCTTAACATGAAGAAACGTGCTGTAAAATTATTCATCTTATCCTAGGAGTGAAATATGATTAGGACTGAGAAGGTATTTCCATCATACACTCCCGTTCTCAAGCACTTATGATTTCAAAGGAGGAAATGCCCTTTGAGTTGAAATTCCTTATTTTTTGTCAGCTCAGAGGTGATGTTTTGTTTTGGAAAGTTTAATCAATTCTTTGCAAATCCATTGACTTCAGTGGACTTGTACAGATGCAACTGAAAGCAGACTTTGGTGCAAGATATTTAACAGTGCATCCACTCCTTTCTCCTTAAAGGAGTGTTTGCAATATGATCTCTTATATCCCTAACATTCTCCAGCTGAAAGTGAGACAGTCATCATAAGCTATCTTCTTTAATTTAAAATATTTTGAGTTCCAGGCAGAGTAAAATGATTCCAATTTTGTCCTCCAACAAGATATGAAAGTTTAATACTTCCAGCTGTCAGTTCGGATTTTGCTAAAGTAATGAATTTTCACTTCTAGATCAGCAGCACATTAAAAATTGATAGCATTGTAAAAAACACATACACACACACACCTTGGATTCAACCAACAACTAGAGCATATCAGCATTACAAGCCAGCTACATCCACTTCCTGTACAACTGCTATCAGCATCGTATATATTATCTTGACTTGTGTGCGGTCATATGTCAACACAGAGTCGAACTAACCGCCATGTGGTGAACCCAACAGTAAATTGCTTCCAACGTATTAACAGTTTGTGTTTACCACAAATTGTCATTTCTGTATTATTGGTGTGAATACTTTTTAAAATCATCATATCAGTCTAGAGGACTGTTTAAAATTACGTTTTGGTCGCCCACCTCTAAAGGGCAAATACTAAAGCCCATCTACACAGAAATGCTTCCTTCCCTCCACTGGTACCAAATACGGAGTAACTCTGACCCAGAGCTGTGTAATCCCCATCAGTTGCACTATCCAATCCGTACCAGCAAGAAGGCAATTCTCCACAAGAGCGTCACTGCTTACATCCTTCTGCAGCAGCCAGTGCTGACTAACTCACAAACATCAGTTGCCATAAAGGAGAGAGTCGACCAGCCAAGCAAGATGCATCAGGGAACTGTGGCTATCCCCACATAGTAAAAAGATAACACTCATGCACAATACAGTAATTTGGTTCACAAGTGGCTAGATCAAAAGACTGAGTTGAGGACCCTGATGGAGAAATCCAAATTATTCCAGATTCGGTGTGTTCTTAATTAAAAACAACTGCAGCTGTTCTGATGCCGCAGACAGTCTGTTTTGTAAGGAATATACCATAGTAGAATTTAGAAGAAGTGCCTTGCATAACATAAGCACTCTTTATCTACAGCCTCAGACTGTTGTATTTAATAGAGGGTTCAGTATTATTAATTATTATTATTACTGAGAAAACAGAACAAACAAATGAATTGTCTAACTAGGATCACAATTTGTTATTCTTGGGTACATTAAAAGGATAGAGAGTAAATCACAGGCACTCGCACACAATAAAATATCAGGGCCGCCCGGGGGGGGGGGGTCAAGTGGGGCAATTTGCCCCAGGCCTCGCAGGGGCCCCCACGAGAATGTCGGAGGCTCCCCCGCCTCCGCCTTCCCCCATCCCCCATCGCCTCAGCGTGCCGCGTCCAGGAGCGGCCCTGGACAGCACTGCAGCGGCGTGGCTCGGGTGGGGCCTGAGGTCCTCCCGCTTGGAGCCGTGTGGTAAGGGGGCGGGGC